AAATAAAATTTGGATCGCCATTAAAAAATTCTAACCAAAGTTCGTTAAAAAATCAATTAGTCAATTCAGTGTCTTTTTAAAAAAATTTTTCATTTATTATTTTTTATGTTAAATAAAATAAATAAAATAAATTTTAATAAAAAAAATTGTAATTTTATTATTTTAAATAATTAAAAAGCACATAATTATGTTAAAAAGTAATAAACACAACTCGAATTTTGATTTCTCACCGGGAGAGGGGAGGAAAGAAATAACCGAAAAGTTTTTTTTTTTATTAATTTCAAGTAGTATTATATCTTTTAAAAAAAATCGAGTTAAAATTAATATATATTTAATATAAAAAATAATATTTTTCAATAATAATATGTAAAAAAAAAAAATTTTTAAATAAATTAAAGTAGTAGTTAACATGTGGCAGAAGAACGAGGAAGTTAAGTAGGAGGAGGAGGAGGAGGGGAAGATCCAGGGGATTTGCTTGGTTATTGTACATCGTGTTAAAATAAAACAGTCAATGGAAGAGCGCTGAGGTGGCAAGGTGCCTTGTTCATAAAAAGTTAAAATAAAAATTAAATTTTATTATTATTATTATTATTATTTATTTTAAATAATATAATAATCATTTTACAAAAAAAAAAAAACGTTTTTGCATAATAATTTGTAACTTGACGACTTATTTAATAAATGTGAAAGAATTTTTTTTTTCTCTCTCTCTTTTCGGTCGGTATTTTATTCCAAGTGTTATTTTAAATTATAATCAAAGTCATAGATAAAATAAATTTCAATATATATAAAAAAAGTGATTCGCGCGAATTTTTTTTTTTTTTTACAATTTCAAAATGTCTCCTTAAAGGTTTTACAAAAAAAAAAAAAGTATATATAATCGCGTAGTTTTTTTTTTTATTTTTTTTTTTAACGTTTTTAAAATATATTCGAATATGATTTCGAACGGGCATTTGGTTGACGGGTCGTGGAACCTGAGATTTTACGTCACGGATCTTCAGGTTGAGAGGACATTGAGGGTTAAAGGAGATCTTCATATCGGTGGAGTCATTCTTAATTTGGTTGAAGATTTAGGTAAGTTTTTTTTTAAATATTTATTTATTTTACAACAACCACAATAGAGAGAAATCAATCAATCAATCAATCAATGAATCATTTTTTAGATTATTGGTTTTATTATATCCCCATTCCCCCCTCCCTCCCCCCATTTTTTTTTTGGGTTATTTCCAAATTTTTGTTTCCTGTGTTAAAACGGATGTTTTTCATCCGGAGAATTTTAAAGAAATTCAAATCCATAAGTTAATACATATATCATTTCAATACTTTATCCTTGTGTTAATTTCTGTCTCTCTCTCTCTCTTTCTATCTGTCTGTATATTGATAAAAAATTATTATTATTATTAGTTTTTACAATTTTTTTTTTTTTTTTTTATATGGAGTTAGTTTTAGGTTACGGTTAGTTTTAAGAAACGGTGAATTCAATGTCATTCAATCCGTATCAAGGTCAAACGCAGTTTCTCATGTACTTAACTATAAATGCATTTGTTTCTCTTATTACGAAAAAAAAAAAAATATGTAAATGTTAGTCGTTGCATAGATATATAAATTACTTACACGTTGCTAATAGTTATTGACACGAAAAACGCGGGAAAATGTCATTTTGAAAATTTTTTTTTGTTTTCTTTACAACAAAGCTGTGTGGCGCTATTTTTTTTTTTTTTCCCCCGTTTGTAATGATTAAAATGTTAGTTGTTTTGTCATGTGTGGTTGTTGTGTCCATGTTTGTTGGTTGTTTGTTTGTTTGTACAACTAGGTTGAGGTCAGTGTCAAAAAAAAAAAGAAAGAAATAAACCTTCAGATATAGAAAATTTTAAGTGTTATTTTTGTTTTTAATTGAAAATTTGTGGTGTTTTTTTTTCAGAGGGGTGGAGGGGGAGGGGAGGGGGAGGGAGGAAAATTACAAGTTATTACCTTGAATTGTATGGATAAAATGTTTTAGTCTTTGAATTTAAATATACTTATATAAATTATTGATGTTTTTTTTTTATGAGTTTGAACTTTGCCAAGTTAAAAAACAAATATTTTAAAATCATATAGTAAAAAAAAAAAATGTCTCCTCTTTTGAAAAAAAAATGTAATAAATTAATAGATGGCTTCCTTCGGTTTTTTTTTTTGTCTTATTAATAGATTTCTAATCATCTTCTTCTTCTTGCTACTATTTTTGGGGTGAATAAAAAAAGAGTCAAATAAATTGATTGAAATTAGTTTTGGGTTTTTTTTTAAATAAAAATAAATTGAAACAATTTTCAATCATCCCTCTATTGTGTTTGTTCGTTTGTTCAATTCAAAATTGTTCTCTTGATTAAAAATGAATTCGATTAAGTTTTTCTTCCCTCCCTTCATAATTTGCGTGCAAGAAAAAGATAGAAGATGTATATATATATATTTTTGTGTTTATGAAAGGCCAGTTGGTGGAAACAAATTCTCAGAAGGTTTATTTTAACAAGGTGTGATCGGTTAGGTTGTTATTTTTCTCCGCCATATTTCAATCATTTCCTCTATGTGAAACTATGAGTTTAAAAAAGTGTTGGTCCATACGTTATCATTAACACACACTCACATTTGACTGTTTAACTTGATGATTGATGGATGGTGCAACAAATTTTCTTTTTTTTTTTTTTTTCTCGGTTATTTCTTACTTCTTTCATAAAGTATTTAGCGATAATTGCTAAGGAGATAACATTTAGATAAACGATGTGATTTACTTATGGAGGCGTTCATAGCTTGTGTTTTTTTATATCCTCTTATGGGAAATTTATCGAATTGAATTTTTCTTTTTTTTTTTTTTTTGGATTGGAACGCGTTCATTGGTTATATTTTGACTTTATATTCGGTTAATAACATCCATTACTACTCGTTATTACTACTCGTTTAAGATAAGAAAAAAGTTATTATATAACGTAACAATTTTTAAACGGTTTTTTTTTTTTAAACACACCGCAAAATAATCACTAAACAAATTATTATTATTATTATTATTGTTTTGTTTTTGTTTTGTTGATAGACGAATTATTATTATTATTTTTTTTTTTTTCGGGCCGTATATTACAAATATTTATATTAAATAATCGAAAATGTGTTTTATTTATATTTTAAATTATTTTTTTTAAAAAAATTAATTTTTAACGCGTGTTAATAAATTATCGCGGGGTTATCGAACGTAGGTGGTGGCCGCCATTAATTTTCCTTTTCGGTACTCGCGGGTTAAAAAAAAAAAAAAAAATTTTCAAAAGGCCGGAAATTGTTGGAAAAACGTTTATCGAATAAGGTGGTAAATAACGTTAAAATAATTCGTGCGAAAGGGGAAGGTAAAAAAAAGAAAAAAACCTCAAATTTCTTACATACCTGCAATATTTTATTCTCTAAAAAGAAAAATAAATCAGGTATTAAAAAAATAATAATAATAATGACGATGTAAATGCGAATAATTTTTTTTTTCTGAAGGTGTTGCGGTCTGAACACACACACGCAGAAAAAAATTGAAAACCTGTAAACGAGGGTCTTGTTAAGGTTGTGAATAAAATTGCAGGTTTTGCGGTTGAAAAAATTTATATAAGAAAAAGTATTATTATGTTTAATAAAACCGGAAAGAGGTGAGGATGGAGAGAGAAAGGGAGAGGGTGTGAATCGTTTAAAAAAATTTCGTCAAAGGATTATTTAAAAAAAATAAATAAAAAATTTATTTATTTTACGGCAAGTGGGCCGTTTGAAAAATAGAGAAACGAAAGTTTTTACGGGCATTCACGCACTCACGCACTCACGCACACCTTACTCTAGCATAGGGTCCGGTTTGACTTGGGTAATAATATTTTGATTTAATGTCGTTCGTTCGAATGAATCGCAAACGTATAAAAAAAAATAAAATTTCAAATTTACCAAGTTTACCAATTAAATATTTAATGTTGAGCAATCGTTTTATTTATTTATTTGTTTGTTTGTTTGTCTGTTTGTTTGTTTGTCTGTTTGTTTGTTGTTTGTTTCAATGTTACCATTTTTCGTTTAAGGGGAAATTTTCGTATATGAAAACGCGAATTTTTTTTTTTTTTTTCCAACCTAGCTCGATAAAAATCGAAAATTTTTTATTTTTTTCTCATTCATTCATTTTTTTTTTTGACCTTTAACCTTAAGACGATTACTAATAATAATAATAATAGTGTATATGTGTACGGTTCGAAAACGATTATTATTATTATTTTTAACTGGATTTTTGTCACATAAAACGAAGTAGGCTTAATATATATATGAAATATGTTTATTGAATATTTATGGTTTTTAGTTTTATTAACGGTAGGTCATGATTTATGTTCACAGCTGCTTCATTGGTTGTTGCTGGTTGTTGCTGGTTGTTATTGTTGTTGTCGTTCTTTTAAATTCTAAAAAAGACAGACGATGTTTTTCAATTGGACTAATTTTACTGCTTCATTCGAGTGTTATTTTATAATTGACTTAAATTAAAGTAAATGTTAATTAAAACAATTAAACAGATCGTAAAAAAAAAAAAAAAAAAAAAAAATGGTTTCTTATTTTTTACTTTGACTTTTGTTAAAAATAATAATAATAATGATAATACATGTAAAAATTCATAGAAAAACTATTAGGTTTAACCATAAATAAATAAATAAATAAATTATTTATTTAACACTCTTTTTCGTTTCGTTTCGTTTTTACACCTTTGAGTGTGGTCAAATACTAAAAAAAAATTTTTTGGGGGGACAACAAGTTTTAAGAATCGAAATAAAAAAAAAATTTTCTCGTTTCGTGTCTCGTAAAAAAAAAAAGGAAAGAAAAGAAAAGAAACCATTTTACTTAATGTGACACGAATTTATTTTTATGAGTTTTCCCGAAATAATAAAAAAAAAAAAAAAAAACAGAAATTTATGTTTTTAATTGATGATTCGAAACTTTTTTTTATTTTTGGGGAGGAATGGGGCGTGGGGGTCCTTTTTTTCCTTTTGTTTTTTTTTTTTTTTTTTTTTTTTTTTACATCGAAGGACCGTTCTTTAAATAATTTTTTTATGTATATTGATTGATTGATTGTCGTGAGAGCAAACGTTTTGATTGCAAGGCCGTGTGGTGTCATAGATGAATTGTTCATCTCAAATATTAAATCATTATTATTATTATTATTATTAGCTATTTAACGAATTTGTTGTCGTTGTCGTCGTCGTCGTCGCCATCTTTGTCGTAAACCGTCAATGTAATTTATCATTTAATTTAAAATACGTTGGCAAACTCTTTATTTAAAAAAATTTAATACTCGAATAAAGAATGATGAATGATGTACGCACGTTTGTTCGTTCTTTAAATTATTCTCGCTTTCATTATTATTATTATTTAAATAACAACAACAACAACAACAACAACAACCTTGAACACACGCACACATCAGAACGATTTTATTTATAACACAATGTTGTTTTGTGAGAACAAAAAAAAAAAAAAAAAAAAAAAAAACATAATTTCGGACTTGCAGTTTTCGTTTTAAAGTGTTTATGTTCGTTTAAAAAAAAACCATTTTCTACCTGTACCTGATTGAAAATTTCCTTTTTTTTACACTTCATATTTCTCTTAATTATTATTATCACGGTCAATAAAATTAATAGGTAACTTTTCACATTGAAATAAAAAAAAAAAAAAAATTGGTGAAACCGTGTCAGAGAGCTTAAGGCGCAATTTCGTGTTTTTTAAAAGTTGTTGTTAAATTCATTTATTGTTAAGAGGGCCCCAACAAACAAACAAACAAACGGTCGTTTATGTTTTTTTTTAACGGTTTTGAAAAAAGTTTTTTTTAAACGTTCATTTTTATTTATTAAATTTAATTATTGCGATGGTTTTTTTTTTTTTTTAATGGTTCAATTAATTGAGAATGTTTGTTTAGAATTATCGATCACGTGGTGTAGGAGACAGTAAGACCATCATCATCATCATCATCATCATCATCATCATCATCATCATCGCCACCATTTTTTGCAAATGTCAAATAACCTTTTGACATATGAAAGAAAAAAAGGAAAATTCAATCGAGGGGGGAAAAAATTTTCCATTATTTACAAAAAAAAAAAAAAAAAATGTTTACAACGAGAGGAATTTGTTCGTTCGTTATTTCTTTCTTCTGCTTTTCCATTTTTTTACTCTTTTCCCGACTTTTAGGCGCCAAAATATTTAAATGTCTTATTTTTCGAAGGTGATGATGAATGCTTCTTTATTTATTTATTTATTTATACATTTAAATGAAAGAGTGAAATATTATCACGTTAAAAATAATAAGTAAATAAATAAATAAATAAATAAATAAATAAATAAATAAATGGTTTACTTTATGATGATGATGATGATGATGATATTAGTTTTGAACAAATACGGTTGAGAAAAAAATTTTTTTTTTTTTTTTTTATTAAGACATAAAAATTATCTCATCAATTATTTTCTCAGCTTGAACCCATATTTTTTTTACCAAATGGATTTCAATCAAATTTACATTAATATTATTATTATTATTATTATTATTATTATTATTATTACTTAA